TACATATAAAAATTATAAATCCGAAATTTAAACTGAAATTAAAACTTTTTAAAAAGTTACATTTAAAATGAAAGAAATTAATATTTTTAAACCATAATATTAATTATAATCATGATAAAATATTTATATACTAAATTTTATCAAGTTCTAATTTCCAATCTTAATTTTAAATTTCATACCTAAATATCTAATTTCCAATCTTAATTCTAAATTCCAACCCTAAATATCTAATTTCCAATCCTAGTTTTATCAAGTTCTAATTTTCAATCCTAATTTTGGATTAACTCAATTNTAATTNTTCTTGTTTTCTTGCTCTTCTCAGTATTCACTTTTTGGATCGATATTAACGGTGGGACTAATCNTTGGAGNAATAATCTGTNGAAAATTAACAGATTTGGTTGGTCGTGTCTACGTAAGTTTTCACTTGAGAAATATTAGTTTTCACGTTACAAATTTAATCATTCAATTATGAAAATAATGATATTTTTATGTGATTCTATTTGAACCAGACAATGTGTATTACAAACACTCTCTTCATAATCAGCTGGTTCACTTTCGCCTTTGTCAAGGTTTGCTATTTTCTATAGTTTTTTGGGGTTAGTTAAGTGGATACTTACACTATGATACATTGATAACTAATTTAGTAAATGACTAGTATGATTGTTTAGATATTTATTTGCAAGAAACACACTCCATTGGGGTGTTATTTATCTAAATAATATACCATTTTATTAACTAACATGTTAGAGTTTTAAAACTTAATACTATTTTCTTTTTAAGAACATTTTAATTGTAAAAAATAGTAATAATTATTTGAAATATAATTAGGATTGGAAATTAGAACTTGATAAAATTTAGTATATAAATAATTTTATCATGATTATAATTAATATTATGGTTTTAAAATATTAATTTCTTTCATTTTAAATGTAACTTTTTAGATAATTTTAATTACAATTTAAATTTCGGATTTATAATTTTTATATTTATCAAATTAAAATTTAATTTTTAATTCTGATTCTAGATTTTTATTTAGAATTATGAGGTGAATTTTTATTAATTTTTTTTAAATAATTTGAATTAATTTGAGGTTCAGGTTTAAATTGGCAAATGTTAAAAAATCAGGTCCAAAAAGGCATGATAGCAGTAGTTCTGGTCCAAAAATGCCGTTCTTTTTGTCTACGTGTCGTCCATGTCACTATTCCGTTAATGTTGACTAACGGTAATTTGATCAAGGTTTAAATCAACAATAAAATCGTATGTTTGGATATCGAATTTGAATTAATTTGAGGTTCGGGTTTAAATTGACCAATGTTAATAGATCAGATCTAAAAAGGCCCGATGGCAATAGTTTTGGTCCAAAAATGCCGTTTTCCCTAGAAATTGGTATAATAGTTTTGTTTTTGTGAGTTTAAAGTAAAAAATAAAACTAGGCAATACTATCAATATATTGTATTTGGAATGTAGGATACTATATACTCTACTACTTT